TTCACTCGTGGTTGTCTTTAAGAGTATTCTAGAATGATTAGAAAGTGAACACAAAATTTGAAAGCTAAATGGATTAACAATAAGGTGAGCTTTAAGATGCTCTATTCAAGGAATTAAAAAAATAGAGCTAAAAACTTCAAGGATATATTAGTAGAAAATAGGATTATACCAATATGAATATGAATGTTTAAATGAGGAACAATAAAGAGTTTTACATAGGTAAGTAAGAAGATATACCAAATGATTTATCATAAAAGATGGTGATTGAATGACACTTATACTAGAGTGGATAAGATACTAGGTAGAAGGTATACGTTTGGGTAGGAAAGCATACTTTCAAGTAGGAATGTTCTTGAACACTAGAAGCTAAGAATAGAAGAAGACATTTGGCTAGGAACCCAATTATTTGGGTAGGAATAAGTTATACCGATAGGAATAAAACCTACCAGTATGTCCAAGAACAATTTTAGCAAAAATACTCAATATGATTTTAACTCAAGCTAAAATCAATTAAAGGATCAAGAGATAATTCAAATAATATCTTCTACCCAAGAATCTGGAACAAAGAATAAGGATAAGGAATAAGTCAAAGATTTAAACATATAGAACTTATTTCCTTAAACTTATCAATAACAATTAATTACAAAATAACAACTTATCTGTTTTGTAATTATCAAAACTAAGGTTTAACAACATTCATGAAGAACACAATGCTAGAAGACACAAACTTGGTGATAGTTATTGTAACATCTTAAGTTTTAATCCCCTAATTAACTAAGCTCAATTATGATAATTAAGTAAATTGATGTGATGTGTGGCTAGGGAGGTCTAATGACTAATTTTGATTGTGTTTCAGCCCTAATTATGGGTCCTGTATGAAGTTGAGCCACTCGAGCATTGAAAAAAGAAGAAAACAAAGATGAAGTATTGTTATGCTACATGTTGCGACGTGAATCACGTTCGCTATAGTGCATAGACAATATTGTAACGAGAGGAAACCTCTCTATGCCATGCCTTATGGCGCATGTGCATGGCCATTTTTTGCAACTTATTAGTTATAAATTAAGGCAGAAATAGAAAAGGAGAAAAAGGAGAAAATAAGGGAGACATTTCATGCTTTGTTAGGGTTTATTCTTGGGTGACATTGGGAGTATTTTAGAAGCAAAACACTAAAGGTAAGTATCATACTCACTAATCTCCCATTTTCTTCTATACTTATGAATTTTTAATTAGGGTTTAACAATGAAAAATGATTTTCAGTCCATATAGGTTATAGGTCCAAATCTATTGACTCAAATGGAATTAATGAGTGTAAATCAGAGTATCTAAATCTAGATATATTAAGTTTTAGGACTTTTAGTGGTTAGACCTTATTATTATGCAAAACTCACATTAATAAGCATTGTTGAAAGAGTGTAATGCCATTAGTGAGAGTTTAATGGCTCATTAATGTCATTAAGGACTAAAGAGAGTTAATAAACCTAATGAGTAAGCCCAAACTTATACAATGTAGGGCATTGGAAAGTCTAAAAAGGGGAGAAAAGCATTGAAAAATGTGTGTTTGACCATATTAATGAATTCAATAAATTGTAGATTGTAGATTAAGCTCTTGGATACTATTTTGGCTTGGAAAATCAAGTTTGGAAGCTTAGATTATTGAGGGGTAAACTTTTGATCTTTTAAAAGTTTGATGTAACTAGGGAAATCCTACTTTGGGTAGTTATATGTTAATTGCTATATGATGTGAATTATGCGTTTAGCATGTGAATTATGACTTGTGATGGGTGTAACATGCAATGAAATCTTGTGTGTATATAATTGCTTGGTGTGTATTAAACATGTGAAAGTAATTGTGAAATGAGTTTTGAAGTGGTGAAAGTGATGTTCGAAACGAATTTCTCTTGATAATGTATTTTAAATATGTGGTTGATAGTGAATATGATAAAGATGAGTATAAGAGGTTAAAAAATGATGTGTTTATGTGATGTAAGAGGAAATGGGACTTGATGTTTACTTAAGTAGTACATGGTCGTGAGCCCAACGTGTTAATTTGTGATAATCAATAAATGAGAATGTGGAAATAAGTGAGCATCGTATATGGCATGATTAATGGGTGGGAGTTTGCTTAGGGATTGGGAGTAGAAAAAATCTATATGGTATTCAAGTTGCCTTTCGGTGTATGGGAGTATAGCCTTGTCTTATAGTTTATTGAGGAGCTGTCTCATAGTTTATTGAGGGCCTAGAACCTAACTATCTCTACTAGTTTATCAAGGAGAATTAGACTAGGGTATACAACACCCTAAAGATTGGAGAGTGGGGGAAGCTGTGGTTCGAAAGCGAGTATTGTAATCTTTGGCCAAGTCAAACCTTACAATTGATGGGCTTAGGTAGTCTAATCATATGAACCGAGCCTTATTCAGTGACATGGCCCACAATTTTAGTCGAAGGAAATAAGAAGAGTATAAGGTTAGTTGATCATTGCCTATGAAAGTATATGACATGTCACACACTTTGAGTTGTAGCAAGTTGTGTGATATATCGAGTCATAGTTAGATTTTTTAGTGTATTATGATTATGTACCTAGCATATGTGAGATGAAAATGTATTAACTGGAATAATAAGTTATGATACGTGTCAAAGCATGTTTTAAGAATTTGATTTCATATGCATGTGTTTGATTTCAATTAATATATAATTGTATAGGATAGGTTTTATCTTGGTTATCGGGTAGCTAGACTTACCCATCGCTCTTAACATTTTTCAAGATCTAGCTCTGGTGTAGAGAGGGAGAAAGTTCAAGAGGCTTAGAAATTTGTACATTCCTACTGTATGCCTCTATATAAGTTTATTTTGTGTAATAGAATATTGTTGCCAATTCTAGGTTGCATTTCATTTACACTTGCACTAATTGGTTGTTTTAAGTATCTGGATTGTATTCTAGGCCCCGAGTAGTTGTATATGTTAAGTTATATGTATTGATAAGGCCAAAATATTGGTACAAGTATAAAAATGTTGTTTTATTTATGAAATGAATGATTTTTGAGGCAATACAAATAGATTACTTCTTCCTTCTGTTTTTGTTATTAAAGGGTTTGAGGAGTGATTATATGTTATACCGATGATTGTGTGCATGTGATATGTTATACTAGTAATCTTAGGTTCAATGAGTAAAGTTTGGGTGTTAGGAAGGGCCTTTAGTACTTATTTTGGGTTTTGGACACTCATTTTGCTATGAAAAGTTGTGAAAAGTGATAAAAATGAGTTTGGGTATCTAACTCCTTAATGTGGCTTGTTTTGAGAGTGAAACTAATTCTATTAATTAGTTTATGAGAAGAGATTTTCATTGACACCTAGATCATGTCATTCGGACATCGGACAGAGAATCGAGGCGCGAAAGTTACCCAATTATGATATCAAATGACAACGGAATCAACTGTCAAGAAAACGTGCAATATGCCGTGGCGTGTGGCATAGAGAGCAACATGTTGCGGCCCGATGTGCACAAACCGTTGCACATTGCCCTGTTTTGCAGTAAATGAGTTATTTTTCAACTGTTTTCAATATTTTTCACTTTTTTAAAGTATCTCATGCTTTCATAACTTGTTTTTTACTCTGATATAGGAGTTTATGAATGGTTTAAACTCATTTTGATTATGAACACTTAGGATCCCTGGATTTTGAAATAATAACTTGGTAATCTCCTAAATGGATTAATTCTTTGATTACCATGAGTTTAAAAGGTTAATTGTGTTAAGTGGTGAAAGCTATTTCAGTTATGGTAACCACAAACCTTCTTCCTGGATTTTCTTCGCCCTATGGATTATGTCGCGGAGCAACCACATTGCAATGACAATACCTCCTCAAACCTTCATAATGGACCTCACGTTATCGCCTTAGGGTTGCAAGCCTCTATCTAGCTTTTGTAATCATTATAGATGACATCGATTCAATAATGTCTTCACTCGATTGACCCTTTTGCATGTAGTCTACAACCTTTGAATCAGTAGCAACTATAGTCATTGGAGGTTGGTGAACAAATTAAATATAATTGAAGAAGAGGAAACGAAGAACTAGCCAATGTCATCAATTAGAATGCATGGGTAAAAATGAACATACATACTAAATTATAATGTTTAAAATTTAAAATAAATAAAACATATATATTAAAGTTTAAATTCAATTTAAAAATTAAAAATATTTTATTTTTTAAGGGTAAAACAAAAAAGGTAGCTAGAGCTAGAGCATGTTTTCCATGGCCTAAATTCAAAGCCTGATTTTCTTAAAAAAAATTATTTTTTAAAGCTCAAACCTTTATAAAAATAAATTTAAATGGGTAACCCATCAAATTCTATCCGAAATATATGCCCTTTGTGCTTGACTAAATAAATTTGCTCTTTAACCTTATGTTATACAATATCATGTCAAATATAACATAATATTAAAATTTTATCAACCCTTATTTTATTAAGCCTTTCATATCATTTAGAGTGTATTTGGTTGGGAAGAAGGGAAGAGGAGCCCCCTCCCCTCCCCTCATTTGGTTAGGAAGAAGGGAGCCCCTCCCTTCCTTCAGTTAGGAGGAAGAGAGGGGAAATTTTTAAAATTTCCCCTCCCTTCCCTTCAAAGCCTTCCCTCCAAATTGAAAGGACCTTTCTTCTCCTTCCCTTAAACCAAACAAATCCTTAAAAATATACATAATCTTCACATTCACCAATCCTATGTTTAACATTTCATATGCATTGTTTTAAAATCAGATCAAACTGAACGATTCAACCGCTTAAACTGGGAATAGTCCGATTTGATTGATGCATGTTAACCGAGAGAGAATCGAACTGATAAATTGGTTAATGGACTGGAAAAACTGAAAAAAGCAACGATTATGAGGTTTGGCTGGTTCACTATTTATTATTATTTTTCTTGCTCCAGACGTCAAAATCACGACGTTTTGATTTTTTGTTTTATTTTTAATATTGTAATTTATTACTAAAATCGCCCAGTCGCCCTAGCATTGGTTCTTTTCGACCTTCTTCAATCCTCGAACCCGAACGAAAACTGAGCTCGGCCGTAGACCCCCTTCGAAGTTTGAACGCGTCTCTGATGATCTCACTCGGATTCTCTTCACTTCATTAGAACGAAAGTTGAACTCGAACGCATCTCTGATTCGAGTATTCGACTGAACCTAAACGCATGTGAGGACTGAGTTCGAACGCATCTGAGAACGGCAGAACGCATCTCCGTTGCATCTCACATCACTGATTCCCTGATTTAAAACGCATCTGATTTCAAAGTTTGTGGGCATCTGAGTTCGAACGCATCTCTGTCGCATCTGAGAACGCACCTCCGTCTCTCCCTCTCTCCCAAGGCCGAGTACTCGGGTTCTGTCTCTGATTCTCTTCATTTGATCATTTCTTTCAAATTTCCTTAGCTTATCCTGAATTTGATTGAAATTGTTGCTTAAATCCTGAATTGCATGTTCATTCAGCTTAACGCGACATTCCATTGGTGCAACCCTGTTTCATCCTCTTGCATCGCTTCCCTTTTCGTCTTGATATTCCATGCCTCGTTTTTTCTTGATGAAATGGAATTCGTGTCTTCTATTTTTCTTTCAAGGGAAAGGGATTGGTGTAAATTCCGATGCCGTAAATTTGATTGGTTGTGAATTTGCCAAATTGTCTTTAAAGTTCCATCGCCATGGATCTATATTTTTCGTTTGTTCTATAAACACGTTCATTTGCTCATGAGATCCTGATAGACGTTTCAGACCATATATTATTTGGAGGTTAATTATATTCTGTTTTGAGGGCGAGGTGTTACAGTGTATATTTTCTAATCAGCTATTTCGTTATGAACTTCTGAGATAATTGTTTGAATTAAGTTTTTGTATGTTGAAAATGGAAATGACGTTCTCTTGATAGCGCCAACAACTTTTGGTTTGGCTATTCACTCTACGTCCAGATAGGAAGATGTTTTAAGTTTTATTCTTTGCTTAGGATATTTCTTATTTCTGATTGTACAACACAATTGCTTTTTATGCCCTCCAGTCCTTTTTACAAGAGATATCTTTGAAAGTTTTCTTGCTCTTTTCTATAAGAAACTCTGTTCATTTTTAGAAGCATTACTTACTTGTTTTCCCCATGTATCCTTAACTATCTAGAGAGAAACAAGACTACAAAGCTTTATTGAGGAAAGATGATTTTTGAAAGTGATTGAAAATATGGGTAAATTTATCGAGAGTAACTAATTTTAACTAGTATTTTTAATCTATATGAAAGTTGTTAAACCTCTCTTATAACAAGGACTGCTAGGAGAAGCTTGGAAGTTTTTCTCTTCCCTATGTAAACTTTTGATCAGATGTAAGTTTGCACCCAATGGACTGTCTCACCTTTTAAGTTCTAGCTTTTAATTATATTTGTATATACCTGAAATCAAATTGCTCGTCCTTGCTGGCAGAGTGAAATGTGTTGCCTGATGCATTTCTGATATGCAGTGAAATCTGTCAATTTGACAGCTCTAGATAAATACTTACTGATTTTTAATTTTTGGTCAGTGTAATGTTATAAATCATGGAGAAACTACATTTTATCCCTGAGCTATGGCCTACTCACAAAAAATAATGCATGAAATTTAAAATGTATAAAAACCCTTATGAACTTCATAATGTAAAAAAAACCATTGACATAATGTTTGATTTTTGGTGCTCAAGGGGTATTCTGTTATAGTTTAGTAATCGTAAGATCTTGTTTGGGTTTGTCACGGAATTCTGCATATTTTGAGCTAGCTCCCCCCTTCATGGAGTTTAGTTCTAGAAAAAAAAAAAAATGAGGAAGACATGGTTCGTGTATGGGGGGGGGGGGGAAAAATAGAACAAGCCCTTTTATCATCATTATAACGTTAGGAAACTTAAGTAGTAATTGATTATTTTAAGTTAGGGTATGATTATCTTCAAATGAATAATTTTTCTATTTTTGCTTGAAAGCCGAAGCTTCAATTTCTGCAGCTGAAAAGGTGTTGCATTACCAGTCACAAGATGCCCATCTTTTAGCTGTCAAATTCAAAAGTGTGTTCTTTATTCATGAATCATATAATGTAAGGAATTCTATGATGTAGGAAATAAATGAAAAGTAACTTGCATAGAAAATATAACGTAGGTATGCACTTATAATATGTATAATACACTTCAGAGCACTACTTAATGTAAATCATATATAAATTCATTTGTTATAAATATGTAACTAGATAATTCTTGACATAATCACAAATGATACCCTTCTTAGTCTGCTTTACATTATATTGACAATATTTAACAGAAATGCAACATTGTTTTGCGAACATATTGTTTTCTTATTTCTGAGTCTTAGGATCAACCATTCTGCCATATTAACTCCAATCTTACAATTTGCAGCTGAATCAAGACTGCTTCTGGTTCAGCTGTTTATTCATTTTGTTGGGTCTGTCCTTGTTACTCATTACATATAGTAAAATTAAAGTAGTGAATAACATTATGATTTTGATGACTAAGGTTAGTATTTTTATCTTTTTGATAATTTTTCTTCAAAAAAAGAGCAATAAAGAACATTGAAACTTTGTACAGAAGTGTTGGATTGTAAAAAGGACATCTTCCCCCTAAGTATGAATTTATCTTGGATGCTGTGACTCTTCATCCAGTTGGAGGTTGGCATATAGCGTTACCTTCCTGTAATATTGGTTTTGAATAGATAACTCTTGGAATCTTTTTCCTTTAGTCTTTGTTTTTTTTTAGTTTGGAGTCATTACCTTTGTACCTCTTTCTTATTTATGATGTTTATCAGTCAGTTGTTAATGGCAGTAGGCTACCTTAGCTCTTTTTTCAAGAAAATATCTCTGTTAGATCATAGATGACATCAACAATTTTATTTTTATATTTCTTAAATGTTTGTTTCTTTTGTGTTTGCCCCTTGCTTCTTCATTTTTTTGTCACTTAATTCATTTCATTTTTCATTTGTGTTTGTTTGTTTTGTTTTCTTTTGGTAGATCATTTGCTTTTAGTCTAATTCGTTTCATCTGTGAAGTTGTTTTCTCTTGCCTTTGATTGCTTCCCCTTTCTGTCTTAAGTAGTGCTTTTGAAGTTCAAGAATCCAAAGCATAAGCTTGTCATTTTTTCGCAGTTGATCAAGCTATAGGAGAGCTGCTTTGCATGCGTTTGGTGTTTGAAGAGGCTATCTATATAGCAAAATGAAGTAAGACCAACAGTCTGCATTTCGTCAGCTTGCTTGTTTATTTTAACAATTGAAACTTCCTATCAAATGAAAAGTTGACTCTGTTAGATAATTTATTTATATATAATAATCAGATCATCAGATTAACTGAAGAGTCAATTCCTTCGTAGCCAATGTCATAAAGCTTAAATGGGCTTTCAAACTTGATTGTCAGAAATATGTATCAGTTACCAGGTCTTCTTGAAGCTTAACTTTTGGATAAATTGGTTATTGATATGGTATTAAAGTGGTTCCATTCACCAAGGCCTTAATCAGTCCTTGTTTCTGTTTTTTGGAATTGTTTTCTTAATTTCTTTCTTCATGTTTTTTGTTTTTAGTCAGTTCTCCTAGAATGGTTTTACCAACTGAAAATTAAGGGGAGAACTCTGACTAAACGACTTTGGAACTGGTGTAAATGACTGAAGGAAAGCAAGAAAACTCCAAAAGGTGGAAAACGTGGCTGGTAAGGCCATGATGGATGGAACTGGATAAGATTATTCAACCTACTCATCCTATGATTGCCATAAAGATTCATGGTGGACAGCAAAAAGGTAGAAACATGGGTATTAATGGAATTACTTACTGTTGCCATAAAGAGTTATACGAGCTTCTGAAAAGCCAGCTTCTGTTTGCTCTTTTCTTTCTTTCTTTCTTTTTTGCCCTTCTTTAATATGTGCTCTGTCTGAATATGATGCTGAGGCGTTCTGTTTTGGATTGCGGTGCCACACTTATTTCTCCCATCAAATTAAGAATCGATGTTACTACTGCTATTCCTTATCCCCCATTGTAGCTTCTAAGCATTTAGTAGGTGTTGTTACCTTTTTTCCCCCACATAAAGGTGTTGTGTTACCCTTTTTCTGCTGTGGTCTGTGTGAAACTTGGGGTGCTGTGATTTTTGGAATCTTTGCGCGAGTTTGGAACATTGTAACCTTTTTTTTTTTTTTTTGTGTGAATCAGAACTGAAATTCATTCAAAAGCTGAAAAGGTACAAAAGGGAAACATTGTACTTTTAAGTATGAAGCTGTGATTCCATTGAATTCAATATAAACGTAGCGATGTTCCCATCATGACCTCAGTACCATGTCAAGAACCAAATTATTCCAGAAGTTTAAGCTTGTAGAAATAGGCTCAGGGAGTGGCTTTAATGTACATAATTAAGACATCATGTAATGCGAAGCCCAGCCTGAGCTAAATTGAAGCATGGTTAGAGTCTAGGTCCCTATAAACCCTAAATTAGAATGTCATACTTATAATTTTTAACTCAAGTCCCATACTTCGCATCTCTTGACATTCCATCGTGATTCACAAGCCACAGTGCCAGATTCCACACTGGCTCGCTCTGTCGTAGCTTTCTAGCCATGGGCTAACACTGCAATAATAATGTCATCATCTTTACTGCATGATTGCAACTAGGACGTTGCAAAGGGTCTCATATAATTTTATAAGAACCTTGAGATAATCTCGAACTAAAAGCTAGATTATGAGATTTGAGTCCGTGGTCCCTATAAATTTCACACTAGAATCCCGTACTTCAATGTAGGACTCAAGTGCCCCATTCTTTGCATTTCGGTTATAATAACTCATTTATTTTGGTGGAACTCATTAGTAAATATATTCTAGACTAGTTCCCTGTCTATTTACCCCTAATCTTCACACACACGCGCGTGTGCGCGCGTACACGTACACGCAAACACACTGTTCTATTGATTGCACATAGCCTTTTCCATTCTTAATTTTATGAGTGATGCATTTGGTATCTCATTACAGGCACAGGGGGCGTGTGAGATGGGATGAGGCTAATATTGAAGAAATTGAGGCAAACAAACCTGTGAGACAGAAAATCAATGAACCTAAGACTCCATATCACCCGATGATTGATGATGATTGTATGTACATGTGATCAATCAAAGGGCATTTTTTGTACATCATACTGCACAGATCAGATTACGTAAATATGTATTTATGTAGCCATTCTTAGAAATAACGGTCTGTTTTTATTTTTGTGAAGGAAAAGAGTTATATCCATACTATGTCCTTAATGGAATAAGGCTTCTTGTTGTTAATACAATTTCACTACAAAACTGTACATTTTAGTTTAGTTTTCTCTAGGTTGTTTTTGAGGTGTGTTGGTACATCCGTTTAAACTCTTCGTGGAATTGGATAAATATATTTCTTGGATACCAGGCCTGTTCTTTAGCTCTATCTTAAGAGCGTCTCCATGTGCAGCTAACGTTTATCCAAATGTGCTATTTTTTAGGTTCTCTGTCCCCTATAAGAGGACGCTTTGAGACATGCATTGATGGCCACAAACAAGCAGTTGATGCTGAAGCAATATGCACTGCTTTGAATGATGTGGCCTCTTCCAGCAGTATGAGCACCAAACGATCCGGTGGCTGGACATCATCTGAGGATGAGGCAGATGAAATGATGCTGGATGAAGGTTTCCTTTTAATTCATATCCTATGTTTACATCTTCATTTGTTAATTTACAATAATCATCTTTCTTTCCAGTGTGATTTTTACTATTTTTATCTTCTTGCACTTATCATTTGTCAGATGCTGACAATTAAGTTCTTATTTAAATAAGCCAAATCATTTAATTCTTAAAGAACTGAACTGGAAAAATCTGTTGTTTATATCTTTTGAACTATAAAAAATGTCATGAATGAGTTGCCTGAGTTTGTTGTTGATGTAAATATTTCTGCGAGCACACGTGCGCATATATATCTGCATGTATGTGTGTGGAGTAATTTAGAAATTTTAGTTGACCTGATTTTTCTCTGCTTTGAATATACTCTGCTAGATTCTGATACAGATAAGAGCAAGAGGTTTAAAGAGCATAGACGAGCTCACTATGATGAATTTCTCAAACTGAGAGAGCTGCAACGGAAGGGTTCTTTTCTGGAAGGTGATAGAGATGAAGATGGTGATGATGATGTTGAGCATGATACGGCAAGGAAATGTGACTCATCTTCCCTAAGTGCTAGTGTGAAGGAGATAGACATTAAGGACGCAAATTCTCCCATGGCCTCAAGCAAAAAGTAGTTCTTAGTGGCCTGCAAATAATTCAAATTTGATTTCGTCATTAGGAGATGACATTAAACTGTAAAAACTCAAATCCCTTGTATCTGTTGTGTAAATACTACTGATTAGTTCTTCATCATTTCCCTCAGTACTAAATTGTAGACTTGCATGATGCTTGTACAGCTGTGCACACTTAAGTTTGATCATGACTTCTAGAGATTTGAATTTTTGTCATAGATCGGTGTGATGGTTGAATTTCTGCATGAATTGTATTCAGTGATAACATTGTATGTTCGCGTTATCTACAAATTTAGAAATTGTTTTCATAGGATGCAGGTGAACATTGCAAGGCTCACAAGTGGTCATTATGAAGATGAACAACTTTTTGAAAACTAGAATTTAGGTAAACGGAAGCGCCTTATTTTTGGCTTGCAAGGGATGAAATTACTATTGCTTTTTACCCCTTCTATCTTTTTATAGGAATCTGTAGAGGTCATTGCTTGTATTTTCGTCTCTGGAGATTGTCAAAAATAAACAAACGGTATAGATTTTTCTGTTGGACCGGTTCACTGCTAATATTTTTGTCCAATCAATTGAACTGGTTTGATCCGTAAAATACTGAATATTTAAAATTAAAGCATATGGGGAATTTGTTTTTTAAAATATTGGAGAGGGGGAAGGTGGTTCGAACTAACCTGAACAGCGAAGAGAAGAGAGTTGGGAGTTGGGGTAGTTTGAAGGTGAGTTTTGAATCAAAGTGTATTTATGTAGTTGTGTAGTGTGATAAAATAAAATGTGTTTAAAGTTCCTATCCACTAGGCAAAATTTTATCACATGAATTTCCATACTAGCATTTAAAGTAAAATAAAGAAAAATGATATAATTTTGAGTCTTTACACTTTGCTTACATTTTATTATTAATCCCTACATTTTTTTTTGATATTCTATGTCTTTATATTTTTGTTTTTTAATATTTTTGGTCCATGAACAAAGTATGGAAACCTTGAAAAGACTTAAAACACTAAAAAATTAAAAGTATAAGAATTTAAAACACCAAAAAAAATATATGAACCAATAACGAAACGTGAGCAAAATGTAGAGATTCAAAATTAAGTTTTTCTTTAAATAAAATATCAATAATTTTTACATGCATGTTAACACTTGTCAATGTATTTGTTACATCTGAAAAATTTTTTGCCATTATTTTAGGATTGATATGCAAAATTACACTATAATGTATTAGTTTATAAGAAATTTTGCCCGTTACTCATTATTATGTGAAACTCACAATCCTTACTTAATGGATGCTTTGCTTCTATCATAGATTTGGAATTTTCGTACCGTTTTTAGCTTTAATAAGCAAAATTGCACTCAGTTTATGATGATGGTACGTACTTGCAAAATACTTTATGTTTTTATCGTTTGACCCACTATTTAAAATTAATTAAATGTTCTAAATTTTTACAACATTCCAAGTTTCGCTTTTGATTAATATATTTCGTTGAGAATAGAAAATGAAGTCATTATTTAAGCTGAAGGTAAAAGCAACAAGGGTATCTCTTTTTTTTTTTTTTTTAACCAAAACAAGGGTATCTTTTGAAATGGATCATAATCTTTTTCTTTTTTTAAATTACTCACACAATCTACACTGTTTCATAGAAAGCCCACACACACACATCACCCATTTGCATGAACTCAATCCAATTCAAACTCACAACCTTATCCATTCGCTAACACTTCGGCGCCGCTAAGCCAATAGGCCTTTGGCAAATCATAAATGTTTCATCAAATTTTGAAAGGAGTCTTATATTAAAGACAAAAGCATATATCAAAAAAAAAAAGACAAAGCAAAAAGTTAAAGGAAGTGCCAACTAAAATTGACATAAGTAATAAAGGCTTTTGCTATTTAAATAAGAGGTTCAAATGTAACCCTTGTATATATCCTAATTTAATTGAGAGAGATATACTCTTTGTTTTTTATAGCTTGGAGGAGATAATTTTTGCTATTGGTAAGGATTACTCCTTATGCTTAAAAAAGAAGGAAAGAAAGAAAGACAGACAGGAACTAGAGGGAGTATCGTTGAGCAAAATTTTTATTTTATTTCAATTTTACTTATCCTTCAAAACACAATTTCAAAGTTGAATATATATTCTTCGCACAATGGCAAGTTTTAGTCGGTTAAAGTTTACAGCCAAGCAAAATCAATTCACATCACTGGTAAAGTTTAGATGATAATATAATGGAGCAATTTATAGGTAACCCCAGTTGCGATAAATTAGTAGTTAACTTTTGCAATCCAACAACACAAGCATTGACTAGTCATGAATGATAAGTCAAATTGCAACTGCATCGATATTTACTAGAAAATCGGAAAAAGATTAAAAAAAAACTTGAGATAAACAATAACCGATCATTTATAGCGTTAGAAGCAATCTAGGAGCTTCTTTAGAGAAGCAAACCATTTTCATTCAATGTTTTCCCTCTTTTATCTTCACCTTCTTTTCGGATCAGAACTATTTTACTTTTTTCTCTTCCTTTCCGGTTGCTCCTACTCACACACAGACCAATGATTTAGTTTAAAAAGAAAAAAGAAAATTAACAAGAGTAGTTATGTTAACAAATACAAAGCACATGTATTTATAGTAATAACCAATGTATAGATCAAGAATCCTACTTCAATATTTCTTACTTGAGCATCTATTTTAGTATACATTTGGATAAAGCTTTTTACATTCGAATCAACTAATCACCAACAGCGTTCATGGCTTCCGCTCTCTCTGAAACGACGGTGGAAGAGACTGACAGTATTGCTCGGAGCAAAAAGAAGGTTCGTAAAGCAGATGAACTGTTCTTTGGAACGATCTCGAGGTCCCCGAGAGTAGAGGATTGGATGGAGAATTCAATTCAGGGTGGCTCATACCGCGACAAGCTGTTAGATAAGGACGTTAACGTAGAGGAAAACGCTGAGGAAGGTGCTACGGAAGCGAAGATACAGGTTTCTCTATGGTTTTGAACTCGTCTCGGGGCATCAAAGTGGATCTTTCTAACCCTTTATGTCCGAACTTCATCCTTGATGAGGAAGAGAAGGAAAGGATATATAAGCCTTACCAAAGAGCTCTGATAGTAAAACTTCTGCGCAAAACAAGTACTCTTTTCTTCATGAGGAGAAAGCAGAGCCAAATATGGGCTAGAAGAGGATGGGTTAAAACTTGTGATATGCAAAATAATTATTTCCTGGTTCAATTCGAGAGCCTTGAAGATTACACTGAAGCTTTCACTGGTGGTCCATGGATCATCTCTGACGCATATCTTACAGTGGCAGCGTGGAGACCTGATTTTGATCCGTATAATGAGCAAGTTAATCACATAGCAATGTGGGCAAGACTGCCAGGCCTGTCTGGACCCTATTATGACATGAAGTTTCTCTTTGTACTCGGCAACACAATGGGGAAGACAGTCAAGGTTGATCTGTCCACGACTCTGTGTTGAAGTTCATTTAACAAAACCTCTCTTACCTGCTTATAGTATTGATGGTGAGAGGAAGCAGATAGAATATGAGAGTATTAACCTCCTGTGCTTTTCCTGTGGCAGGTATGGTCACTTAAAGGAAGCTTGTCCAACGAGAAAGGAGAACGTAACCAAGAAAACTCGGCAGGAGGAGGGTGGTGCACGATCTGAACAAGACACAGACGGTCGCCGACGTCGGCAGCAGCGCAGGGACAGGAATCAGAATGGAAAGTTGTTCAACGTCCAAAGAGAGGGCGTAAATTACGGATGGATACCATTGAGTCTAGCCAGAAATCACGGTTTGCGATTCTAGAATCTATTCAGAATGAGGAGGTTGCTAACATTTCGGCACCCTCTAGGGGCATGGCTAACGGTCAAATATTTACGACAGGGTCTTTAAGGGCAGAAAAGGAGACTTCTCTACTGGGCCACGTAATAAGCAAATACCCAAGACGATTAGTGTGAGCCCAAAAGTTCCCTTTTCAAGTCTTTAAACAAATCAATGAGCCTACTCGTTTTTCAAATCAACGAGCCCATTAGTGTCCACAATTATTAAGCCCACTATACTAGACCAACGTGAAAAATCAGCAGCAGACACTTCAAAATTTGCTTTTCAAGCTACAGCCCCTACTTCGAAAGTCCAGAGTGTACGAGTTGGTGCTGGCAATGTGCTGGAGACCCATCGACAAGAGAGCAGAACAGTTTCAATTGAGGGCGCGGGTTCTGATGCCATGGCAGAGGACTTTCAACCACGAGTCCTCCTTCCTTGCCACAGACCAAATAATTTGCAATTGCAAGAGGAATCAACGTTGCATACAAAACATGGACCAAACTCGGCAGAGGACCCTAATTCACAAGATATGGATGAATTTGTTGATGCCACAGATCCAGAGGATGAATCCGATGAAGAGGGTAAGGTGGAGATGATAGTTGACGCTGATGAAGAGTCCGGAAGGGTGATGGAGCCCTAGGCTTCGTTTTGTGTATAATGTCTGCCATAATATTATCAAAACAATACTCTAACAATATCATTATGATAACAAAATTAACTAAAATCCTTATACAAAATTACCATAACACAAAGGTTCAAAAAATATTAGTTTAAGAAATTGGAATACTAAAAAAACCCTTTTTAAAAGCATGTTTGAACTCAAACCATGATTTACAACAAATTTAACAAGGTTGCAGAAGCATAGAAACCAATTACAATCATTAAAAACATCAAATGAACATTTTGAAAAATCTCCAAAAATGCACCATCTAACACGACACAGGTGTCACCCACTGTACTAGATGGAGGAACCAAGTTCCTCTCTATGTAGTGCGTTGCAACGCACTCCTGTTGTCATGACAATTCTGCTGTCATGATAGCTCCTTCGGTCAACTTTTGAAGTGCTCTGTCTTACCATTTGACATCCCATTTAAGCAATTCAAGTGTCCGCACATAACTCTTTGAGCCCTCTAGCTATTAACACTAGTCTTATACCCAAACAATCAACTATTTAAAAGTTGAACATTCAAATTCAAATTGATTCATTCTCTATTCAAAACACACACAAGGGTGTCCAAAACCCATAACTTAGTGCTAATAATTTTGGAACTACTTGACTAACTCAGATAGACCATAAACGACTTGATAGACTAATTATATCACAACAACAACAATCAATATACAATTTGACTATTGAAACCCCAATTTTACAGCAATACAAAGGGTGATAATATAAT